TGTTCATTTGATTACGTTTTGCCCATTTTCTCCCTTGCATCTCTCTTCCTCCGTCTCAATGTGCGTGCTCCTCTCGTCTCTCTCTCTTTCCTCTTTTTGATCTTGCAGCCATGTATTGTCTCTGACAAATGGAATGATACTGCAAAACAAGCAAAAGAAATGATTTTTAAGTTGGACCGTTAGTCGAAAGGTCTCGGCCGCCTCATCCACAGCTCGATTGGACTCGAACCATCTCCACAGACGGAAGTCTTGGAACCCGCTACACCTACGTGGCGGCTCGAAACGCTCTCATTATGGTCATAGGTGAATCCTCAACAGTATGGTCGCGTGACGAGATCGCAGAAAGGATCCTGCGAGGCGAAAATTTGGTCATCTATCACGGACAAGTATTACGGATCCCTCAGTCTTGGTTGCAAGCCCATCCCGGAGGTGCTCTAGCTATCCTCCACTTTGTTGGGAGAGATGCTTCCGATGAAATAGATGCTTTTCACGCTGAACAAACACTCGATAATAGAGTAAAGAAGTATATTATTGGCAAAGCGCAGTTGTCGAAAGACGGACTCTGGGAGCCCCTCACCCCACCCGTCGCTGTCGGTTGGGTCAGAAAGAATGATGGAAAGGGAAAGGGAGAGAAGTGGGTTCAAGAAGCAAGCCCAAGGACGAAAGCGGACGACGAAACCCTCTTGACCTCTGAAATCCTCCTCGTTGAGAATACTGGCTCAAATTCAAAAGAAAAGACATCAAAGAAAGATGTTGAACCTACGATAGACATCTTGAACCCGCCTCCGGCGACCTTGTCATTGGAAGAGCAAACCAGGCACTCGGTCGCATACCAAGAGCTCCATAAACGAGTCACAGAGGCAGGACTATACGATACACCATACCTAACGGGGTACGGTCCAGAGATAGCAAGATATCTAATGTGCTATATCGTGTCGGCGACGACATACTACCACGGGTGGTACCTTACCAGCGCTCTTTTCCTAGGACTGGTGTGGCATCAGCTCACCTTTACTGCGCATGATCTAGGCCATATGGGTGTGACCCATAACTGGGTCCTAGACCGGCTGTTGGGAACTTTTATTGCCGACTTCCTGGGCGGGTTAAGTATTGGGTGGTGGGTAAGTGTCAATCTATTCTTTTCATAGATGTGTCATTAAGATTTGATTTCCTCAGGTGG